CTGCATGTCTGGCACATAGCAGTACCTAATTCATATTTGGGAGAGCAGAGTCAGAACCAGTATGTGTGCATCCTGGGTAGTGGATTCAGGGCAAAACATATTAGCTGAATATTATATTAATTGGGGTTCTCCAGAGAAGCATGAACTAATAGGAGATGAATAGATGATAGATAGATGGATGGATAGATAGATAGATAGATTTTAGGGAATTGGCTCATGCTATTATGGAGGCTGGCAAGTCCAAAATCTGCAGGGCAGGCTGCAGGCTGGAAGCCCTTGGGAGAGTTCCTGCTGCAGCTTGAGTCTGAAGGCCCTCCACTGGCAGAATTCCCTTTTCCTCTAAGGAGGTCAGTCTTTTCCTTTTAAGACCTTCAACTGATGGCCGGGTGTGGTGGTGGGTACCTGTAGTCCCAGCTACTCGGGAGACTGAGGCAGGAGAATGGCGTGAACCTGGGAGGTGGAGCTTGCAGTGAGTCAAGATTGCGCCACTGCACTCCAGCCTGGGTGACAGAGCGAGACTCCTTCTCAAAAAAAAAAAAAAAAAAAAAAACACCTTCAACTGATTGGATGAGGCCCACCTACATTAGCAGAATACCCTGGTTTACTGCAAGTCCACTGATTTAAATGTTAGTCTCATGTAAGCTATCTTCACAGAAGCATTTAAAATAATGTTCGATGAAATATCTATGGCCTAGCCGAGTTGATACATGAAAGTAACCATCACAGGCTGGGCGCTGTGGCTCATGCCAGTAATCCCAGCACTTTGGGAGGCCAAGGCAGACAGATCACGAAGTCAAGAGAGCGAAACCATCCTGGCCAAAATGGTGAAACCCTGTCTCTACTAAAAAATACAAAAATTACCTGGGCGTGGTGGCGTGTGCCTGTAGTTCCAGCTACTTGGGAGGCTGAAGCTGGAGAATCCTTTGAACCCAGGAGGCAAAGGTTGTAGTGAGCCGAGATGGCATCATTGCACTCTGGCCTGGGCAACGGAGCAAGACTTCTTCTCAAAAAAAAAAAAAAAAAAAAAAAAAAAAAAAACTATCTATCTATCTATCTATATCTCATTGTTGGGTTTACTGTTTACTCTTTAGGTAAGAACTGTAGGGCACTAAAAATAACATAGTTGAGTGGGAAATGTGTTTCATAGACATGATCTCATATGTTCTACAAACATTTATTATTTTTATTCTTTGGGAGAAATTCCTCAGCTCTGCAGGGAAAACACCAAAATGTATTTTCTGAATCCCTTCCAGTCAATGGGGAGAAATACCAGTGTGTGTGTGATTATGCCAGCCAGCCCTGACTCACTCATCTTTGCTGCTGATTCTCTATATCGAGCTTTGGTATTTTATTTCCCAGTCTGTTCAACATTTTTTTCCTGCATATCCCTGGTAAGGCCTCAAACTAAAAACTGAACGCATGGGATGCTAATTTACATGTTTACTGAAGTGCACGGGCTTGAATCGTGTCTGTGGCCCACCAAGGCAGACCTTTGCAGGGACTCTGCCTCCGTTTCAAGAACAATGGCACCTTCCTTTAGACAGGGGTCAGTGACATCATTGACATAAGAAGCCTGGCAGGGCCCGTGGGTACCTGGTACCTAGCTAGTAATTAACACTCAATAAGTGTTGCTGTGCTTACTTGCATCATGCTCCTTTCCAGACGTTCACAGTCAAAAGAGAAGAGTAATCCTAGATAATCCTTAAACCTTCTGTTTAAGTTTCATTTTCTTCCCTTCCTTACCCTCTATATGCAAATGTACATTTGGCAAGCAGCAGGGAGCTTTCAGATTCCTTATCTCTCACACCCACCAGAACCTAATTTTGTTCATGGAGAGTAAAAAATAAAATAAATATTGCATTGGGGGAAAGATATGTGAAGGCACCCACATGACAGAGAATGGCTGTAAGGATATGAACATACATAAAGTAAGAAAGTGTGATTCTAAAAGAGCAGTTTATTGTTGTTTGAGCAGCCTGACCGGGACTTCTCCTTTCTGTTCCACTCTAACCAGCACGGAGCCTTAGGTTTTACAACTTTGATAAGTTGGTAAGTGAAACATTTTTTCCTTTTTTTTTTTTTTTTTCTGGAGACAGAGTCTTGTTCTGTTGCTCAGGCTGGAGTGCAGTGGTGTGATCTCAGCTCACTGCAATCTCTGCCTCCCGGGTTCAAGCGATTCTCCTGTCTCAGCCTCCCGAGTAGCTGAGATTACAGGCATGCACTACCATGCCCGGCTAATTTTTGTGTTTTTAGTAGAGATGGGGTTTCACCATGTTGACCAGGCTGGTCTCGAACTCCTGGCTTCAAGGGATCCACCCACCTCGGCCTCCCAAAGTACTGGGGTTACAGATGTGAACCACTGCACCCAGCCCAAAATTATTCCTTGACACTTTAATCTGTATGCTTGCTTACTTGTGAAATCGAACGCTTTCTTCATACATGCATTTCCTACTTGTGAACTCCCTGATCGCATCTGCTCATTTTTCCTAATGGATCTTGGAGGTTTTGTTAAAAATTATAATGATAAATAATAATCTATTAATTCTTTCTATATTGATTATTAACTGAGTCATATTTATGCCAAATATTTTCCCAGATTGCAGTTTTAAAAATTGTGTTTATGATATTTCTTCCGTAAAGCAAGTGTTAACTTTTTGGTGCTGAAACCTGTCAGTCTTTCTCCCTGTGATTTTTGAGAGTAGATCTGCATTTCCTTCTCCCCGCTTCCTCCCCCATTTAGGAGAAATGGAGCCAGGGCCCCTCTATCCTCCGCTAACCACAGTAAACCCTCGGCTAATCTTTTTGTTTGTTTGTTTTTGAGACACAGCCTCACTCTATCGCCCAGGCTGGAGTGCAATGGCGTGATTTTGGCTCACTGTGACCTCTGCCTCCTGGGTTCAAGCGATTCTCCTGCCTCAGCCTCCTGAGTAGCTGGGATTATAGGTACCCACCACCACGCCTGGCTAATTTTTGTATTTTTAGTAGAGACGGGGTTTCACCATGTTGTGCAGGCTGGTCTTGAACTCCTGACCTCAGGCGATCCACCCGCCTCTGTCTCCCAAAGTGCCGAGATTACAGGTGTGAGTCACCGTGCCAGGCCTGCCACTGGCTAATCTTGATGCCCCAGTTTTGAACATCTGCTGACAGTAGGACCAGGGGAGGCTGCATAGCCTGAAACTCAGGAACCACATGTGGGCTAGGGGAAGAACTGTCTGGAGGAAGGCCAGCTTCCCACAAATCTTTACCCAAGGGAGAGTTCTGCCTTAAAGTCCTTAAAATGCCCTCTACCAGAGCTACTGAAGGTTGGTTCTTAGGGTAAGGTTCAGTTCAGTAGAAGAATATGACATTGGACACAAGTGTGCAGGAGGGGAAGGGCAGGGAGTCGGGAGAGAGGTAGGGATGGGGCCCTACCGGGAGACTGGGAAACCAAGCCCTCTTTTCTTATTTCCTATTTTTGTTCCTCTTTTAGACCCAGTATGTCTTTCAGTAAAAAAACTGTTATTTAGCTGAAGTTAGAATTTGCATATTTAAGCCTCCCATGTGAGCTGAGTGTAAGATGGAGAATCATAAGTAATTGAGATGTGTATAGCTGTGCATAAAGTACTGACGCTGTTTTCTAAATCTGGAGTCTTTTCTACATTCAGAACAATTGAGGAAGGAAGTGAGGATGTTTGGAAGTCAGCACTTCCTTTTTAATGGATAGTAACAGCCCAGAACAGTTTTATGGGCCTAGGGAAGGGGACAAGGTGACAACAATTGCAGTTTACGTGGGACTGAAGTTTCCCAGAATGAGGGACAGCCAGGACTAAAACCTGGACAGTCCCATGCAAACTAGGATGCTTTGTCATCTGGACTTGCTATTCACACACACACACCCCACATGTGTGTAACCCTCCCCCAAAATAATGCAACAGCCTTTCAGTATCCATCTTTGACAGAGGATGGAACTACGGGTTGAAGAGTCTCAGATACTTCCTTAAATTCACACAAATTGGGCATAAAGGAGCCTGCATGTAAACTTGGTTCCGTCTGATGTCAGAGGGCCCTTTCTACCCTCCATGCTTGGGATTTATCAGTCGGGTCGGTGAACTCACTCTCTCACCCACCCACTCACCCCATATTTTCAGAGAGCAGAATATGTGCTATGCGAAGGATTGGATTATGGATGATTCAGAACAGGCTCTGTTATATTGGTAATTGGGAAAGCCCAGGGACAGCAAGGAGAATAGTAGTTCAAGAATAATCTTAAATAAAATGTATGGGAGGCCACTGTTTTGGACTGAACTCTTACACTAGGCCCAATGGACCAGACCAAACCAGAATGGAGTCATTCCTGCTAGGTGCCAGGCTGTCCGGCTGAACTTTAAAAAGGGCAGCTTTCCAAAAAATAAGAGATGCACAGCAGCCAATCAAAAGGACCAGTTTACCTGAGCCGGTTTGATGAGGAAGTCCCCCATGCTTTAACCCTGCAAGAGAAGTAACTCTAAAACGCCAATCTGCCTTTTGTTCCCTGTTTCTGCTTCTTCAGCCTTTCCTGCCTACAAAGCCCAGTCCTTTGCCTGGCTTATTGGAACATATTTTCTCAGTTTTTGGATGGGACGCTTCCTGATTCATGAATCAGTAACAAAAGCCAATTAAATCTTTAATGTTGTTGAAATTTTTTTTTTTTAACAATAATAACCTTGGTAGAAATAAAATTTGCAAGAGGTCTAATGTAATTGGAGCCTTAAGGCAACTCAGTACAGTAGTTTGGTACTCTTAGTACAGGTTAAGCATCCCTAATTTGAAATCCAAAATGCTCCAAAATTAGAAACTTTTTGACTGCTGACACAATGCTCAAAAGAAATGCTCACTGGAGCATTTGGGATTCAGGATTTTCGGATTAGAAGTGCTCCACTGGTAAGTATAATGCGAATATTCCAAAATCGGAGAAACACTCCTGGTCCCAAGCATTTTGGATGACGGATACTCAACTGGTACACAAATATTCTTAGAGGCACTTCAGATTAGGAAGAGTCTGTATTAGTTTCTTCCTCATCTAGGGCAGTCTTGGGAATTCAAACAAAACCCAGATTTTCCCCCCATCACAAACACACACACTCACCTACCAGTTGACTAGGTTCAAACTCCAGCCATCCTGAGCATCTTCTCCTTTACTTGGGGGTTGGTTTCAGTTGAATTCAAGGTTTGGAGTCTCTGGAATTTATACTCATTTCTTGAATGAGAAGAGTTACCAAAATGAAGCAACTACACCAAGCCTCAGACATTTCACATCATACAATAGTCTCCCGTTTATATGTTTGTCTCTTTCCTTTACTGCTCGACTTTGGCGTGGGTCCTCTTCCTCCATCGGCCATTCTTCCAGTGTCTAGCACAGTCAGGGTCTGCTACTCGCCGAATGGGTGGGTAAACAGCTAAACACAGAAATCCCTGCAATATAAGAATCGTTGCCAACATCTACAATTAAACCAATTTTTAGTTGATAGCAAATAATGTTAAGGTACAAAAAAGTGAAACACAACTCCTTTTAAGAAAAGAAATCCTAAACTCCATAGTATTTCTCTGAAAAATTGCAAGAAAACTTACATGACTCGCCAGAAGGAACAACCCAAGACAGTCTATGAAACAAAACTGGGGTTGTGGTGACTTTGATCTGCATCATTAATTTAATTTCTCAGTTTTACAAGTAAGCAATGAAAATGAACAGGACTGATTGAATTACATGTTACTTAGGGCTTTTGGGAGGTGGTCACAGCTGAATCAATCCATTTACCTTCCATGGGAGGTGTTAATATATATCTTATTGCTTATTTTCTTTTAACCCAACACTTTAAGCTCAGCCAGAGATCCAAGGGACGGTGGAGGTTGCTGGGCAGGAGTGTCAGTAAAGAGGCCAGTGAGATGCTGAAGATGGCTTATGCTGCCCAGTGCTAGCACTCAGGAATCTGAAAAATTTAAACACTATCACCTGACACCAATCCTTTGTGAGGTCCCAACAGAGCGTTCCTTGTCTTCAGCGAGAGCTGTCTACTTGTTCTGGAACACTTCTGAGCGCTCCCATTCGAGACGATGGAGACGATGAGTAGGTGAGCCCCCACCCTCCCCGTCTCCCATCTAAGATGTCACCACACTTTCCACAGGAAGAAGACATCTGGAGTTGCAAAAGGAGGCTGTGCAGTTTCTATCCGCTTACCTAATAGCCCCTCCACCGAGCAGCCACCTTCCTTGGGGTTCTCAGGAACACTCCCCTTCCCACAGACAGAGGCTGTTTCCAGCCTTCACCCACCAGCTACTGTCTCCTTTTTCTTTTTCTTTTTTTTTTTTTTTTTGAGACGGAGTCTTGCTCTGTAGCCCGGGCTGGAGTGCAGTGGCCGGATCTCAGCTCACTGCAAGCTCCGCCTCCCGGGTTCACGCCATTCTCCTGCCTCAGCCTACGGAGTAGCTGGGACTACAGGCGCCCGCCACCTCGCCCGGCTAGTTTTTTGTATTTTTAGTAGAGACGGGGTTTCACGGTGTTAGCCAGGATGGTCTCGATCTCCTGACCTCGTGATCCGCCCGTCTCGGCCTCCCAAAGTGCTGGGATTACAGGCTTGAGCCACCGCGCCCGGCCCTGTCTCCTTTTTCAAGTCTGTGGGTGAACTGTGGGGTCCACTCACCTCTGTTTTTCTAAGTCCCTCAAATCCCTTTCCTACCCTGGTATGTCCAGGATTCATCTCCTCAAAATTGTTTCAAGGGCGCGAGTTACAAATAAGATTAGGTAGCACATGCTATTTAGAAAGTTTCAGAAAGAGAAGGAAAGAAGGAAGGAAGAAGGAAGGAAGGAGTTGTTACGTAAATGAGAAATACTGAAAGGCTGTTTAACTGATATTGCAGACACTATAGTTCCATAAAAAAGATAAATTATGAAAAACAAGGGTTGTAAACACTTTTATTTTTCCTTAATTGACTCTTGAGCAGACCAGATGACTCAGTACTGGTCTCCAGGGATCAGCCTGTGCTCCAGGGCGTTGTAACACATTTATATTACTTATCCTATTTAACATTTTGAGTCATATCATTTTCAGAGAACCTTATTTACTATAAACGTCTCATAAATCTACATAGTATACACATTTCATTTAATATCTAAGTAACATATACTATTGTACACCATTAAATACACCCAGTAAAGACACCCTAGTTTGCTTAATCATTCCTCAAATGTTAAGAGATTTGAGTTACAATTAATGCAACAATCCTCCCTTTACCTCCATGGAGATAATTTTTTTGTTGTTCTCTAACCCATTTATTTGTTTCTTTGTCTGCATATGTGTTTATACTCAAACAGGCAGCTTTGTTTACTCTTCGTCTTTGTATGTTAATGTTCAACAAAGGATTTTCTGAATCAAAAAACATGGTCAGTTTTATGACCATTCCTGGCTTTTGCTGTTGGAGACTTCATAGGAGCAGAGAAGGGGAGGTCTGAATTAGCACATGACCATTTACGCTACAAAATTCTCATAAGAAAAACTTGCATGTTCTATTTCTTAATTTGATAAATTGTCAGTTATGTACCATCGAATTTTTATCCCTGCTGAAGCTATACCCGAACTCCATATTTGCAGGGAATTCCAGAGGAGTCAGGATGGGCCCTCAGTGCAGTAATCATAGAGTGTAACAATAGAGAACATGGCACTTTTTTAAAAAGTCGAGGGCTACCTCTGACCTGTCACTCCTGAAATATGTCTCCTAGCAGTCATCTTCCTGCCTTCCTGGGCTAGAGCTTTATAGGTTACCTTAGAGTGATCATGGGACCTGGTTTTCATGAGGCCATGTTTAAGTTCAGGGGTGACCTGGCTGGGGAGAGGGTATAAACCCACGAACACGGGCCAGTTGACAGACTAGGATTGCCACTTTGTAAAGAAGAGCCCAAGGCCTGATCAGAATGAGACACAAATGAGGTCATTTTAATAGAGCTAGGGGTGGGGAGAAGGACAAATGGACTGGGGCAATTCTCAGGGAGGGAAGGGCTGGATAGGGGACTATTTTGGGAGAGCCTAGAAACCACACAAGCGTCCCAGACACCCGGGCTAGCGGAGAGGAGAGCGGAATGAGAGCAGTCATGAAAAAGGGTAAGGGAACACAAGAGAAATTCGGTTTGCTTATTTTTGTCTGGGCACAGTTTTGCCCTTAGCAACCTAAGGCAATTTCACAAAACTCCACTCAGTGCACAGGATGTAGAACACGGCGGAGGCTTCCACTGTGGTTTGACTGGCTTTTGGGAATCGCGCTGGAAAGCCAAAAGGACACGTTTCAGTGTGGACATCCAAGTCTTAGTGGGTGTCCTGAGGGCAGGCGAAGGCCTTGGGGGAGGTGTCTTTGCAACTGCGTAGCGGTGGTTTTCTGATTAGCAAATCTGAGGGCAGGGAGATACTGTGATCAGGACTGTTTGATTCGGGGCAAGCCTCTTTTCACCCTGCCCACACAGAAGACTCTGCTTTGGATACAAAGTCAAGGACAGATACTGACACAATGGACCTGTAACTTGTGCATGGCTGCCTTTTGAACAATTTAGTCCATTTGAGGAACCTCCACAAGCCTGCACTTCCAGGGCAAAGTTCCTGCTCTTCTGGGGAATTTAATTGTGAATTGTCTGTTTTGGGGCCCATTTTGACTCCAGTATTCCAGGACTTACCTCTTTGGAGACCTTGATTTGGAATTTCCCATTGGATGGGGTTACTTGGGTATGGGGTAAGCTTCAACCTGGCTTCTGTAAGAACAAAGCCAGATGATCACGGTGGGTGGTCTGCTAGGAGAATGGAAATGCCATTGATTAAAATTGAAAGGTTTGGAGAGAGGCCTGAGAGTTTGGGATAGGAGATGAAGTTTTTAAAAATCAGTTTTTTAAAAAAACACTTCCCATCTGAAATGCCAGTGAATTGTCCAGATAGATTACACTGAAAAGGCTGACATTTCTGTAGCAGCCACGAATGAAGTCATCTGAGTGGATGAGGTGCTCTAGGCCATACATGGAGAAGAAAGAGAACACAATTACCCAGGCCTCCCGTGACTGCGTGCGGCCACAGCCTCTGCTCATTTCCTAGTTAGGAAGGATGCGGGGGTCTGCTGGGATCTCCACGTTTCTACCTGTACTTCTGAGGACTGGGTTTCTGCCCACACCAGTTGCAGGATTTGCTCTACTGAGAAAGAGTTTTGCTCCAGAATGCAAGTTTCCTGTTTCAGACACGGACAGCCAGTTTTGCTTCTAGAATCATTTTCAGCTACATACAGAAAAATGAACTTGGCTGAGCTGAAGAGCCACGCGTATGTTAAACGGCAGCTCGGGTATTAGGAACGCCGCGAAGGCAGGCCGAAAAGTCAACCCCCTTCTCCTCACCCCTGTCCTCACAGCGGCCCCTTCAGTGGCCTGACTTTTTCTGCCCGGGACCCAGAATGTCGCTTGAGGATGGGACTAACCCGCAGACCTGCAAGCGCTGCCACGCAAACGGCCTCGGCCAGAGCAGCCGCTTCTCAGCTCAGAATGGCATCTCCAGGGACCCTCTGGCAGTGGGGCCAGGTCTCCACCGGGCCGGTCCCGTCCTTCCTACCCGGGCCCTGCGGCCAGGCGGGGCCGGGAGCGGCGGATGCGGGAGGGCGCCGGGGGAGCCCGGCTCGCGCGGGGCTGGTCCGAGGGCGGAGGCAACCCGCCGGCGACGCCGCAGGTCCCGGGTGGCTGACGCCGTCCGGGGGCGTTCCTGGGAGCTGGGGGCCGGCGAGGCTGGACCCGACGCGCCCGGGAGGAGCCGGCCGGCGGCCACGTGACCCAGCGCGGCGGGGCCGGCGGCCCAGAAATAGCAGCGGCGGCGGTTCCGCCCGCGGGCGGCGCGAGCGAGGAGCCGAGGCGGGAGAAGCCGGCAGGGCGCGGGCGCGGCGGCCCCGGAGGATGCTGCTGAGCCCCGGCCCTGCCCGGCCGCGAGCACATGATGGCTATACGGGAGCTCAAAGTGTGCCTTCTCGGGGTGAGTCCTGGCCGCCCCCCGCCGCGGACCCCGGCCGGCGCCCCCGCGCCCCTTCGCTCCCCTGGTCCCCGCGCGCTCAGACCCCGCCATCCCCCCGCTCTCCGCTCTCCTCTCGCAGCTTCCGTCCCCCTCGTCCGCGCGCCCGCTGGTTCCCCGGGTCCCCCTCGCTCCCCCAGTCCGTGCGCCCCTCGCTCTCCGCACCCCCTCTTGTTCCCCGCCGCCCCCTCGTCCGTGCGCCCCTCCGGTCCGCCCCCGTCTCACCCTGCCGGGGTCCGGGGCCGAGCCTGCCCCGGGCTTTTTCTGCTCTTTCCTCCCGGCCCGCGAGTCCCCGGATCCGCGGCGGCCTCGCGGGGACCCCCGGCGGGGACGGGGCAGTGGCTGCGAGTCTGGGGCCCCGAGGGCTTTCTCCTCCGCCTTTGATAGTTTCCTTCCGGCAGAAAGTTTAAGTTGCTCAGCCAAGTCGCTGAGGACTCTTTTGCCTCCTGGGGCAATTGATTGTTCACTTAAAACACAAAAATAAAACCAAACGCGAGCCCAGCCAAGGGGGTGAAAGCCGAGGGCGCGGCCGGGGTGGAAGGTGAGGCGGTGACCTGTGCGGAGCGCGCCCTGCAAACTTCCCTGCTGCGGATGAAAGCAGCAGGCTGGGAAAGTCCTCCCCACCACCACTTCTCCTAAAGTGGGGCTTTCTCAGCCCGAAGAAGCCTTAAAGCCGCCAGAAACAAAGAGGCAGTCAATCCTTGCGGTCAGGGGACTGCAGACCGGAGACCCGGCCAGGACGCAGGGAGCCGCTGGCGAACCGCCCCTGAGAATTCAGATAAACGTAGGGTCGCTTCCTTTCGGGGGCCCACATCGCATTCCAGAATTCCTTCTTCTAAAAGAAGAGCTGGTTCTAAGGGCGTTTTCAGCAGCCTTTGGCATCTGGTGTACCCGCCCATGTCACTGGCAAAGCTGGTCTCATGAAAACCATTTCCTAAAAAAGAGCAGCGAAAGAGTCGCATTCTTGTGCGAACTGGTCTGTCAAGATGGGGATACAAGAACTGTAGAAAGAGGAAATGATTTCGGTGAGGACTGAACTGTGCCAGCGTCTCTAGGCTTCCTCTAGGCTCTTCTGGAACCTCTGGCAGAACCTTGTTCTGTCCACCGGCTCCCATCACTGGCCTCTGCCAAAACCATCCCTTACCTTAACTCGATTGTCTGGTTGGCCTAGAATTCCAGAGGATCTGGGAAGGCCCTGCCCTCCCTGGTAGGCCCTGGCACAGATCCCCACCTCCCCCGACTTGGTCAGCCACAGCCAGGATCTAGCCTGGTCCTTTCCCTGTTGACCTTTTTGTGTGTCTGGAGTGGGTTTTCCTGTTCCCCAGGCCCTCTAATATTTCCAGACGTGAATTCCAGGAATCCCGTGCGTCCCTCTTGAGGGGCCATTTCAGCCTCAGGAAAGGCCTTCAGAGACTTAGAAGGAATGTCGTGTTCCAAGGAATGAAGGGGCAGCCTTGATGTGCGCTGTGTTTGTCAGGATTGGCCTTGGGAAAAATGAAATAAGACATGTTTTTGCCTTTTTTTTCTTAAACTCTTTGTCTTCACTTTTACTGAGGTGGTCCAAGCCCTGCCCTATCACAGGACCCCTTATTTTCAATTTCGGCATTTAGGGACAGGTCTCTATATCCTCCTACCAGGACACTGATCAGGTGGCAAGAACCCTGTGTCAGGAGGCAGGAAACCCAGGCTCTCATTCTTTCCCACCAACGAGCTGTGTCGCTTTAGCAAAGCAACTCAGCGGCCTCATCTATGAAATGGGCATAATAACATGTTCCCCCTTAAGGCAGAGGACTATACCAGATGATCTCCTAAGATACATGCTACCATTTCAGGGTGGCAATTAGCAAACCTGGGAGAGGAGGAAGGTGGAGGAAATCTCTTTACTTCTTTTATCTCCAAGAATGATACACACTCTTTGAGTGGCTTCCTGCAGACAGTGCCTTACCTTTGCCAGTTGTGTGTGTAGGAAATTGAACTTGGAGTTGGAAGAACCATGCCAAAGCAGAGAAAGAATAGGTTTCTGGGCAGACGGAGGCTTTGAAACATCAATCGTGGCTGGTCGCAGTGGCTCACACCTGTAATCCCAGCACTTTGGGAGGCTGAGGTGGGGGGATCATTTGAGGTCGGGAGTTCAAGACCAGCCTGGCCAACATGATGAAACCTGTCTCTACTAAAAATACAAAAAAATAACCGAGTGGTAGTGGTTTGTGCTTGTAATCCCAGCTACTTGGGAGGCTGAGCTAGGAGAATCGCTTGAGCCTGGAGGTGGAGGTTGCAGTGAGCTGAAATCGTGCCACTGCACTCCAGTCTGGGCGACAGAGTGAGACCCTATCTGAAAAAAAAAAAAAAAAAAAAAGAAACATCAATCATATCACACCACATCTGTGGCTTCCTTTTTTTTTGAGGGTGGCTGTAAGTTTCAGTTTTATTGAAATCAGAGAACATTTTATTTGAAAAGCCAAATGATCTTATTGTCCACACTGAGTAAGATTTGCCACATCCCCTGGTTTGGCTGGCTCTTTCCCGGGTGAGATGTGTGCAGCAGGCTGTGTTTCTAGCTGCTCATCCAATTAGGCTGGTTCTCTGGGTGGGATAACATTTGAGGTAGATCAAAGCCATTTAACTGTCTTCGGTTTACTCTCTTCTCTCTCTCTCTCTTTTTTTATTTGTTTTGAGACAAGGTCACGTTCTGTCACTCAGGCTGGAGTACAGTGGTGCCATCATAGCTCACTGCACCCTCCAACTCCTGGGCTCAGTGGATCCTTCTGCATCGGCTTAGGTTTATTCTCTTGATTCCAGAGACCCTGTGGATCAGTTAGTGCTAAGTCCAAAAGTCCTTAAAAAAATATGTATATTTTTGAGATAGAGTCTCACTCTGTCGCCCAGGCCGGAGTGCAATGGTGCCATCATGGCTCACTGCAGCCTCAACCTCCCAAGCTCAGGTGATCCTCCCACCTCAGCCTCCCAAGTAGCTGGGACCATAGGTGTGCACCACCCACCCAGCTAATACTTTTTATTATTTTTGTAGAGATGGGGTCTCCCTGTGTTGCGCAGGCTCTTTCAACATTTTAACAGGAATTGGGCTCGTTTGTTCTTTGCATAGGGAGGTCTGTCTTTTCTGGGTGAAGTTTTATGTGTTGCCGGCACTCAGCTTCCTGTTTTTTAGCCATGAGACACCTCCCTGAAGTCTTGGTATGACCAAGACCCCGACAGCCACACCTTCTTTCTCCCTGTTAGAATCACTGTCTGTTGGGTTTCCCTTAGAAGGTGACAGAGAACATAGACTTCGTAACAAAATCTCACTGTCACTGGGAAGGCTGAGGGGTTGGTCTTTTTGTGCCTGGTCCTGTGCTCAGTGAGGACGTGGGGACATGCTTCCCATATAAGGTATAGGTTGTTTTAGGCATGGGCAGTGGGAACTTTCAGCAGAGGCTCCCTACTGGTCACTGTTTGCTGTAGTTTCCTGCTCCATCCATGGGGTCGGAGGTCTTACCTCCTGACATTAGAGTCATTTGCAGCAGGTGGGACTGAAAGTGGGCCGGTGCCAGGTCTTCTTCACCTGAACTTCATCTGTTTTCCTGGCATGTTAGGAATGTTCGAGCTTATTTCTTTTGGTGAATGCTCCCACATGGGATGGACAATGGCCTGTGGAACATTCTCTGAATGCTTTGTGTTCTTGGAAGACCAAGGACTGGAGAGCACTGGGTTTGTTTAGGTTACCTCTTATAAATTCTTGGCTCGCATCTCATGTGTGGACTTTCTCGGGTTCATTCCACATGGGGACAGCCCAGCAAGCCTTTGTGAATGCCCTTTCCTGGCCTGAGCCCAGCCACCTGTGGAAGTCAGCCTTGCAGGAGGGTGTGCTTGATGGGGGAAGCACCCTGGGCGGGACCCTATAAGCTTCCTTCTTACCAGGAAAGTGTCATTCATCCCACTTTGTGATCTGAACCGGTGTTATGAAACATGAAGCTTAAAGGCAACACCCTTTAAAACAGCAAAGTATGTTAACAAAAAAAAAAAAAAAAAAACCTAACAAAAACAACACTGAGGCAGCAGCTGCTTCAACCCCAAAGGTGGAAAGTTTCCCAGTATGCATTTTTAACACACATCACCACGTGGCAAGAAGCAGGAGGAAGGCAGAGAGTGGGGAGGAGGAGAAAGAGAAGGAGGGGACCTTTGTTTTGTTATTTCCTTGGGGTATTTGTGCGCGTGCACTTAAAAACTGCTTCCTGATGGAATCCCAAAGAGATTTATATTTGGACTTTGGTTGTCTTGACAACAATTTAGAAATTTCTACCACTTCCTCAATAGCTGAGTGATCAGTTAAAAGAGCCGATGGCTTCCCTGCTTCTGGTAAGGAGCTTGTTGAAGCATCTCCTTGTGATCTTGGAATCTATATGGTGGCTCATCAAAGAGCAGTCAAATACCTGGGATTTGGTGAGACATCTGGGTAATGGGGACTTTATCTATGTCCAAGGCCTTCACATGGGCCTCTTGTCTCCCCAGGGACACTAGGATGCAAAAGAAGAACAGATTTATATTCATGGTAAGGCAGATCATCAGAACTGCGCAACCTCACATGAGTTGCTTTGAGCGCTATATGAGAGAGTATCCAATAAGGTGATAAG